AAAACTTTCCAAACCCTTTATTTATGGGACAAAGATGCCGGACCATTTAATTGGTGTAAAGTTATATATCATTGCCTAATTTATTAATTTATGAAAAAGATTTAGAGATTTTAAATAATCTAATTTGTGCTAATGAGAAGGAACTAAACCAAAGAATTCAACAAATTTGACAAGAAACACCACAAAGTTTTCAAGTATTACCACTTTTGCTGGCCGTTAGAGATAACGAGAATTTTGCTTGGCTAGAACAAGAAAATATTGAATATTGAGAAAACTTGACTCTCGAAAAAGTAAAAAAACTAATCTTTAATTCTGGTCTAAGTGAATATTTAACCAACGGCAAAATTAAAGATTTAAAGGATTATTATCTCGGCGTAGAAGTAGGATTAGGAACTCATGGAAAAAAGAATATTGGAGGTGGGATTATGGAAAAAGCCATTGAAACTTTATTAAAAAAATACCAAGTTGAATATCAAAAACAAGTACCAGTGAATTTTCAAGTTAACGGAAAAAAAGTGTTTGACTTTCAAATTAAATTAGAAAGTAAGGAATATTATTTAGAAACCAGTTTTTTTAACACCACCGGCAGTAAAGTTCAAGAAGTAATCAGGTCTTATTCCGGAACTGTATTGGAAAAAGCCCAAAATAATGAAATAAGTTTCTTATGAGTTTTAGATGGCAAAGGCTTAAAAAGCTGTAAAGAATTATTAAAGGATACTTATTTAAAAAATAAAGATTTTATGTTTACTATTGCTGGTTTTGAGGAATGGTTGAAAGAACATCGACAAAAAATAATTTAAGTTAAGTGCAAATTTTAGGTAGATTATATTAGAGAAAAGTAGTAAGTAGTAACAAAAAAAGCAAAATACAAAGCAATAATGAATGAAAATACCTATTTAAAGTGTCCGATTAGAGGAGAGTTGAAAACCAAAAAGTATGACACGAAAGGCAATTATACTGAGGAATATTGAAGAATAGAATTAATTAAATTTCTGCTTGACAAAGGATATCAGAAAGAAGAAATAAAAGTAGAATACACAGTTAAGTTTGGAAACCCAGAAAAAGATAGAATAATTGCTGATATTTGTGTTTTTAAAGGCGATTTAGTTTATATTGTCGGCGAGGTAAAAAAACACAAAGATTCAAAAAAGAATGCTGTGGAACACCAACTAAAGTGAGCCATAAACTTAACAAAAGCTGAATATGGTATTTATTTTGATGGTAGCGAAAATGAACTTCACTACCAAGGAAAAATTTATCCGATTAATAAATTACCAAAAAAAGGACACTCCTGAGAACAAATTGGCCTCAAATTTAGTGATTTAAGAAAAATAACTGAAGTTAGCTTATTATACGACAGATTAGACCAAATTATGCATAATTATGGTTTAAGTAAAGAAAAAAGATATAGCGGCCTTTTTCAAGTTCTAATTATGAAGTATTATGATGAAAAGTTTAGTGAAAAAGAAAATCTTTCTTTTCAATTATTTCCTAATAATAGCCACCAAGAAAATCTTGCTCGAATTAAGTCTCTTTATCAAAAGGCAAAATTATACTATTCGGCCGGTTCCTCGATTGATTTCGACAAAGAATTAATTTTAAGTGACACTATTGTTATAAACTTGGTTAAATATTTACAAGAATATTCATTTATCCTAAACAGCCAGAAGACTCCCACTTCCATAAGTGGGGGATGAATGGCCAACGCAACTTCTTAACTAATT